TTGCAGTAACTTCCCTAAGCATTTGCACTCAAAATATCTTCATTCTTAAATGAGGCATGAGTGTGTGTGTGTGGGGGGTGGGGGGATTTAAATCTAGATAAGCTCTCTTCAAAACATGTCCAAAGAGAAAGCCCATGGAGTGTGACACCAGATGGCAGGGGCTCTATAGGAGCATACTTCTGAAATACCTCATCTCATTTTTAATCATGGTAAATTATTTGCCCAACAGGAAACAGAAGGAAAGACAAAAGAGCCCCAAGTATCAGAGGAATGGTAGAATTCTATCATAATCAACCAAGCACGTGCATAGAAGTGGTCAGTGAGCCAAGAAGTTTAGTGTGGTTATGGCATAATCAGACTGTATGATGTGTGTCTCAACTCAACAGACAGAGATGAGGGTTACAAACACTTTTCACTGCAGGAGGAGGACACATTAGCTGACTGTTTGAGAAGTGACATGCACTACACAGATAGTGCCACACCATCACCCCTCTACTTCCCACCATGTTGTGCTGTTCATAATCAGTGAGGGATTCTTCAAGATCCACCACCATAGTAAGTGGCAAGGCTCTCCCATGCTCTACTTCAAGAAGGAGCGTGTGTGTGTGTGTGGGGGGGGGGGGGGTCATGTTGGGAGATGCAAAGAAGTGTTCAGGTCTCCATTAAACACCTGTGTAATGGATGGCCATAAAACCCCAATTTTAAAAGCTGGCAAGTGTGAGTCAAAGAAGGGGGTAAGTCAATTTCCTGATGCCAGCTTTCTCCATGATAGTTCATGGAATGGTATGGTCTGGATCTAGCAATTAAATAATTTTAATACCACAAGGATACCTCTAGTGGTCTTGCTAACACCCCATTTTAATACTGGACATAGTAGAGCCAGGGTAGATGGGTTGAGCTCTTTCAGTTACCCCTCACCTGATGCAGATTTTGGGAAATAAGCATACCATGGGAGGCAACACCAGCCATCTGGCAGGATTCTATAAAAATTAAAATGGTGTTGAAAAAAAATTTACTTACCCTTCTCAAAGACAGTATATAGTTTTATTAAAGAACAGGGACTGGAGGGAGTTGAAATCCTGAAGGAGATGAAACAGGCAGATGATGAAGACATTGGGAAATGAACATGTTCAGATTCATCAACGTGCCATCCTGAAGGATCTTGTCCAAGTTTCAGTGAAAATGATACAGAAGAGAGTGAGAAAGTTGATGAATATGATGCAACAAAATGTGAAAGAGCGATGAACCTCCTGAGCAGCCAAGTCGTAAGAAGAAAAGCCCAGTCTGGACAGAGGTGTAAGTAAGTAAGTGAAAGAGAATGAAGAAAGCATAGATAGCATATACATTTGAATGAGGGCAACCACAGGCAAGAAGAAGAAGAAAATGTCTTCAGAGAAAAAAGGTATAATGAACAGGAAGCCAATGGGTTGAACAGAGCATGTGTAAAAGCATGTCAAAGTCTCAGACAGGTATGGGAGTAGGACAAGGGAGTTGGTGAAGGAAGGAAGGATTGAAATAAATTGGAGAGGACAAAAGAAAAACCTTACAATAATGGGATAGATGAAATGTAGTCAATAATGCTGCCTGAGGAACAATCCATGGTTGAACAAGGGTAAACCCCTAACAGTTGACATAAGGAACAACTGTGGAATTGTCAGAGTGGATCATGACCAACTAAACCATGAGAAGAGGGAGGAAAATGCAAAACACATGGTGAGAAGTTCAAGGATGTTGATGTGCAGTGAGTGAATACTCTCTCTGAAGCCCACATGCCCAAAGTCATGTAGTCATTCAGAGACACCCCCAACTCAACAGATAAGCATCTGTGAAGGGATAAAAGTTTACAGAGCAAAAGAAACTTGTGCACAGGGTGTAAAGAGAAGCAAAAACCTTGGTGACAAGACCTTCCATTGCTCGTAAGTGATGAAGGCTGAGCCTGACTAAAATGGGAGTTGAAGAACATGCCCTGATGCCCTAAATACAGGACAAGCATGGAAACAGACTTGGAAGGCTTCACAAACTAGTCCAGCCAAGCAGTTTCCTGCAGAAGGATGCATATGTGAGAGGAGTCCTCTCAAGAAGGGACAAGGAGAGTTCAATCATCCATATAATACTGGAACATCATCCCCAATCAGTTAACAAAGTGGGCAAATGTCCCCATGACTCAAATAATGAGATAAGGAGCAGACACAATGCCAAAACAAAGAGCATGGTACTGGAATACCAAAGCTCAATTAAAGAAACAAAGAAAACATCTGGAGGATGGGGCAATCAAAATGTGTAGAGAGGTGTTTCAAATATTGACCTTGGTCATCCACAGTCTGGGTGAAAATAACCACTGATGAGAGAAAAGAAATATCTCCACAAAGAATTCAGGGATGATGAGAAACTAATTGAGAGATTTCAGGTCAATAACCAACCACCAGTTCTCAGCCTTCTTGGAAACCAGAAACAGGCAAGAGAAATAACCAGGTGTACAGGTAAACATATTCTCACTAATATTCTTGGCCAAGAGGTCTGAAACCACATCCTCAAGTCATCGAAAATAAAGGGGAACAGAGGGAGGAGAAAGGGAAATGGAAAAGGGGAGGAGGTGAAGAGAAGTGGAGAGAGAGGCTGTAGGTGGGAACCTGAATAACCCATCCATTAGATGAAAATGGAGACCAAAGGCTGGTGAAGAGAGACATACAGGCCAGACCTGACAAGTGTAAGCCAGAACAAAAGAGTTAAGTAGATGAGGAGGACTAGGCATGGTAGTACAGGTGTGCATTTGTTCAAGAAATGAATCTGCATGGACCCTAATGTCAAGTGAAAGAGGAAAGACAAAGTAGTCTTAAGTGGATTTAATATAATAAAGCATGGGGGAGAAAATCAAAAGACAAGGGGAAAAAAAAGAAAATGCATGTAAAATCATGTCAAGGAAGAGATTAGAAAGGTGAGAATTTTCCTCTACAGATACAACTGTGCTCAGAGCAAACCATGATAGGGGAAATAGCCAGACAAATCATCATCCAGATCATATTTAAATTGGGGAGAAGGAATGTCAGCCAAATGGATGGGAGGAGAAGGCCCACTGTGCATGAAAGAGCCCACAACACATCGAACAATGATTGTCATGTCCTCCACAGACAATGAGCCCCCAGTAACCACAATGGATACAGGTCCTGTGTTAGGATTATCATAACTATTGCAGGACAAAAGTGAAAGGTACCATCACTTGAAAATTCATAATAGATAAGGAAGAAAAACTTTTTTTTTTTCTGTTGTAATAAAAGAAACCAGTTTCATAAACTTCTGCAAATTTCATGTAATTGATAAATAATTTTAAAAACACATATATCCTTAACAATGCCGATGAAAAGAATGAAGTTATTTCGAGCAAAAGTGCTTAAGGAGAGTTACTGCGCAAGAAGGATGTGTCGCCCACCTATTGGTGGAGGGCTATTGTCTCATGATGACATCATCATGCACTAATGCAGTTTACATTAAACACATGCTTTTTAGATGGGAATTAGCTCAAGACTAGTGACATGAAAATCTCATATGCAAATGCACAAGAGATTACGCTATTCTATATGTGAAAATGAGGTGTCATCTTGCAAGACAGCACACAGTAGATGAGTTGTAGCCTATGAAAGATCCATCACATACATGAATGCAAGCCCTTAAATCCAATGGTACCTTGGGCAAAACTCAGGTGAAAAACAATATGAAACTACTATGTGAAGCAATGAATCCTGCGAATAATTCTTTGTTTCTTATCAATATAGGAATTTGAGCTCTAATCAATTTGAACTTGATCCCACGTTAAAAGTTAGGTAACCAATCTAGCCTTGTTATAGTGTAATATTTTGGACAGTACTGAACTGTCAGTAATGATGGCATTTTCCTGGGAATGACTATGACTCTTTAATCAAGATAATGCACCATTCTTCACTGCACAGCATGTGTAGCAATGGTTTGAAACAAATATCTAGAATCTATCTTGTAAACCCAGAACCCATACCTAAACCAATTAAATTACTCTTATAATTTTGAAACACTGCCTCAGACATAAAGAAATAAACCTCAAAAACTTATTACACCAGAAGATAATGTGCAACAGTCTATTCCACTAAACATGCACCAACAACTTAAAGCACTAGGAACTAGAATTATCAACCTGAATGACACCTTAAATGACACACAGGATGAACAAAGAAGTCAGAGACCCTTAATATTCAGATATGGCTGTACCTAATTCTGAGATACTGACCACAGGAAGAACTGCAAGTCAATCAGTAGCACCTGGTACCTCATAGGCTTTGTCTGGATTAACTGTCATTTCTACAATGTGCTCACAGCTAAAAGAGTAGACATTGTTCAATAGCATCATGGCTCAAGTTTAGACCTTTTAACTGAAATCTTGCACACCAACAATTACAGCATGCTCAGGCTATCAGCTAAAGCATCTAGGCTATGATTAACAAAGATAGGTCTAGTCCCTAATAAAACAGGGACACAACAGCAAAATACAAAACTCTGTTCCGATAGTTTAGGTAATATTGTGTTTGCAGGTGCACATGTGTGTAAAATACATATAAATGTATACAGTTTGAAACTGCAACTTGTCAAATGAATAAGTTTCCTCTTATAGAATAAGAAAATAATATAGCAAGACAGTATACAATGGTATTATTCCTATTTAGAAGATAACATTCTACCTATAAATCATTTTAAAGGTATAAGAAAGAGATAAATTATCAATAGTCATGCTTCAAGGATGAAACTGTTGATAAAATAAAATCCACATTTCATAAGGTGTAATGAATGTCATGCTAATAACTAAAAAATAATTCTAATAAATAAATCCTTGTACAATTTTCCTTCATACCTTAAATTTCCTAAATTACAACTGAGTTAAAAGGAACAAGAAGAACAAGATAAAATTTATAATGAAGAAATAAAAAATTGCTAATTTAGAACATGTGCTTTAAACCTCAATATTTTCATAAAAGTATAACTGTCTTCTATTAATTTTGTTCTTTTATATGAGTTATCATTACCTCAGATGTCTGAGGATCCATAAGCCACTGCCATGCTCCAATAGCTGTGCAAGTTGAAATGATGAAAAGGATTACTGTTGAAAATACAAATAAATCAAGTCCAATACCAATGTTATAAACATTACTTAGCAATGGAGTACTTAGAATATCTTTAAATATGATATGTATTATATTATGTAGAAGTCAGAGCTAACAAGTCATGCAAACTTCACAGCACTGTTCAGTTCAATTGTACATAGAGCTTAATACAGTCCAAAATTAGTTCTGTAAGCACACTTTCCATAAAATCCTTATTACCTTTAATAAAAAAAAAAGTACAACATTCAGGTTACAATCTTATTATTATAATGATACTTGAGATGTATACGTCCAAACTGCGGATCTTGCAAACTTCCACACAGATCCTCACCAATCATAGCTGGGTAATATTTTTTATAACTAGGCAGTATTCTTATAGCTGAGCAATAAAAAAACAATTGAAATTTCCACAAAAATGATATGTTTCAGATTTAACCAATAAAAATTACAAACAAATATGAGTAAGTTTCAAATACAAAACAATCAAAAACAAACTTAAAAAATTATTTGTTTTTCTTTAATGAAAATATCATGAGTGTTGCAACAGAAGAGCAAGGCACTTTCATTGATAACAAAGTCTACAAAGAAATACTTCAATAGTCTATGATGTAATGCTGTGATGATATCTCATTTTTAAACTAAAACTTCAATAAAATCTTTTTTCTCATGGATGGTGAATGTTACTGAATGTCAAGTAAGAATACATTGTTGTAGAACTGTCAGTTAACTCCGGAAAAGGCCACAGGCCCAACAGTCTTCCACAGGAACTAGCAGTTATACATGCCTGGAGGTTGGGTATTTCTGCTAGTTTTAACAAATTAAGAAAATCATCTAAAATTTACTTTTAAGCCCTGGGAATACTGATTAAACTTTTCCATGCCATTATACTTTGTGAAAACAATGTAGAATTTCACTGGTTTACCTAATGTTTAGAAGTAGGAAAGAAATATTCAGCTTTGGAAGTCATCTAAAAATACTGTAATACACCAAAGTTGAGCTGGGTAATCAATTTAATTTGCTGAACAATTAATCAACAATTAATCTTCACCAAATTTAGTATAGAGGTTCATTGGGCCCATGGGGAGATACATACAAATTTTCAGTTTTGCATTTTGAGTTTTGTGTTTTTTATGGGTGTTGTTATGTATTTTTACCACTACTTCGCCCCTGCCAATGGATCTTCACCAAATTTGGCATGAAGGTTTGTTGGGTCCAAGCAGAGATGCATGGAAACTTTCAGTTTCACATTTTGTGTTTTACAGCTTTTATGGGCATTTTTGTGTTTTTTTTACAGTTACATATAAGGGAAGTAACTTTTCATATCCTAAGATAACCTTTCATTAATCATCAATTTACATAACTTCTGTCTAGGAGACAGATACTTCAGCTAGTTGGCAATATTGGATTACTTGAAGAGTTGGAATAATTGAAAATAGTAATAACAGCAGATCTTAATTTTGATAAGTTGATTATTTTCATGAATTTAAGACATTAATTGATTAATTTGAAAAACTTGAATTAATTGAAATTAATAATGAAGAATTGTAATGACAATATTTTGATTATTTTACATGACACTAATTCAGTGGTGGGATTCAGCTGGTTCAAACCAGTTCGTGCGAACCTGTTCTTAGAATTTAATGACCTCACGAACCGGTTGTTAA